GACGCTCTCCTGTTTACAGCTGTCACGTAAATGAACAATAATAAATGTTGTCGTTGGAACGATTCTTCCAAACTTCGCCCTTAACTGCTATATCCATCTGTGTATCGTGTATCTTAAATCGCAACTGTTTCATCAAACTTTCTTTCGCTTTGCATTAGGTTCCGTATGAATCCCTGAACAAGAGTTTCCGATCCAATCAGCGACTGATTGAGAAAGAGATGCAAAATATGAACACGGCCATGGAAGGCATCCTTACGGGAGTCAGTAAGTTTAATGTTAGCTTTCTCATACTCGCAGGTGGATGTGGTTTTTCGAATACATTGTCGAAGTACCCAATTGTACCGATACTTTGCCCTGTATCGTTGTGGCAATTATATCGAACATTTGGTATACTATCCTTATGTACGTCCCCATCCCAATTGACATATCAGAATTTCTTCGCAGGCTTATTTATTGCACGTTCTGCTATGTTAACGTTTGGGGCTGTGTCTATTTGTTGTGCCATCTGTGCTTACCGTCCAAACTCCATTTCACTAACGCGCCCAATTCCTCACAGAGCCGAATAGTACGACAATTTACAATTTCGCCAAAACACCCATTCATTTCAGAATCGAAAAGTATGACACTCTCACTTCACTAACACACCCAATTCCTCACAGAATCAATTAGTACGACACTCTCACTTCGTCAACCTGCCCAATTTATCACAGAATCGAATAGTACGACACTCTCTCTTCGTTTAACAGCTTATTCCTCACATAATCAAATTGTACAACACTCTCACTTCGTCAACATACTCAATTCGTCACAGAATTAAATAGTACGACACTGTCACTTCGCCATCACAGCCTATTTATCACATAATCGAATAGTACGACACTCTCACTTCGTCAACACAGCCTATTCCTCACAGAATCAAATAGTACGGCGCTCTCATTTTGTCAACACACCCAATTCCTCACAGAATCGAATAGCATGACACCCACCGAAGCGTCGAAAGCTATTGACGCGGTCGCCGAGAGATTGATGCTGTTTAAAAGAAAGGTACGTGCGTTGATCACACACCGCTCCCCATAGTGTGTTGTAACTGTTGGATGTAAATGAGGGGATAGTGGGCAAGTGCCTCTCCGTGAGATATACCTGTTTAATGTGATTGAGCGGCAAACAACCCTATGCGCATACATGTGGATATATATCTCTTCAAAATGAGTATGCAACTATGTAGATTACATCTGCATGTAGCTATGTATGGCCCTGTGTAGCGTTGCAGTATTTACTTGGAATGGTTGTGTTAAGATTTATTCACCTTGTAAATCTGAATGATTGAATGCAGATCCTTGACGTTGGTGACCTGCCTATAGTTGGTAGTAATATAGTAGAGGCGCCTCACTGCGTATCAGCTCTTGCAGTCTAGTTTAATTCGATAAACCTCTCAATCGTATCGTGTGATATTTTTACGCGGATGGCAATTCTGACTTGTATTTGTTATGTTGAGAGTGTAGTCCATACATGCAAGACTTTACAAGCTTGTCGACTACAATGTGCGTAGATCATCCCAACACACACCGCTTTCCAACTTTTCGGATCATATCTAATGCCATCCACTGTATTTGCTATCCTTTGTATAGATGGATGCCCAGTTGCAGGACGAGCAAAGACTGGTGCAGCGATGCAAACAGCGCGTGGATCACATTCTACTGGTGAGTGCTTGACTATCACGATTGCTGCAAGTATACTAGCGTATACTATCTACAGCACGCAGAAATTTGTATATTTGCATATAGTACATACTTTGTGATGCTATCGGTACCATTTGCCCATTGAATACTGAGAGAACAATGTATCTGCATCAAAACCGATGCCTATTTGATCACTGAAATCAATGTGCATCGGACCAGAAAGGATTGACAAATATAAGTAATATGCATCGGATGGCTCTGTCTCATATGTATTTGCGCCTCCGGTACAGCCCAACGCTGACGATGATAAACCGGTATTCTGTCACCGACGCATTGAGAGAATATTAATAGATTATTTCTTGAGAGAAGGTGTGTGGTGTGTGTGTGTGATTATGTGCGTGTGTGTGTTTGGAGCGAACGACTACGTGTTGTAGAAGTGGAGGGATGTGATACGAGAGGATATAAATAAAATTCTCATTTAAAAACAATGCACGTTATCTCATACACGATTTTTTCTTCTTCATTCAAATTCCTAAACAAAGACGTCTTGTCATGGCTCATTCCCATACTGTTGTCTCTCCTGCTTTGCCTAGAAGTCATTACTTCAGCCTAAATGTCTACGACTCTGCAGAAGCGGTTGCCTTAGTTTCGAACACCGGCCTTTGGTACATATCGGGATGCTTGATAACTCGAAACGTTCCGTTTCTCATACTCTATATCGCATACCAACCTTCCTGTCCATACCCATCTCCTGTATTTCTGTGACTTATTTCCCCATGTATAGGCTTCTACGATACTGCCGCGGCGGTTGCAGCTGATTCGAAGATCGGCCATCTCGTAGACATTGAGATGTTCGCGGACTCGAAACGGATCGAAGATGCGCTCGCGAGGCAAGACTGTGAGGAAGGTATGTCGATCCTTTATCTGCGTGTGTTGTGCATGTTGAACCTCTAAACCATAAACCATGAAGCTTTTGTGTTGTGCTACTTTCAGCACAGATGCCAGACGAGCGAGGTCTTGAGTGGGTGTGAAGAAATGTAGTCGTCTGTGTGGACAGGGCAGACCTATATATGTGCGCTATCATACACACATATCAGTATCATCAAATACCTCTATATACATACGTGTATATCAGTTTGTATTATATACAGTGTATATATATATATATATGTAATTTCTATACCTCTATATACATACGTGTATATCAGTTTGATTATATACAGTATATATATATATATATATGTAATTTCTACTATCTGATACAAATCACCTTGTTCACACAATAAACGTGCCAGCTCTCGCGTGGTGTGTGGAGAACCGCAGTCGCCTGCGTAAGCAAGGTAGCACGCTTGAGTTCAACCTGCGCAAACAGGAATTTATGGAGTTGATCCGCCAGGGTAAGCGCAACGCAGCCATAGCGCACTCGCGCAAGCATCTCTCGCCGTTCCACACGACTAACCTCAAGGACATTCAACGGGCCATGGGATGTCTGGTATTCAACCCTGATACCACCTGCCTGACGTATACGGTATGGGCGTGCCGTGTCAATTTGGTACATAGAGTTGTTTACTTTTGAATACCTGATCGATGTGAAGCCGATTCCATGACAAATAGACTAAATATGCCTCCTTCGTGGCTACAATATCGGCAGCTATGTCGTGCTTCACTCATACCTAAATGCACATATGTGTATCTCATCTAGCTATAAGTGTTGCCTAATATTTCTGCTCTGAACGGAATTTAAGCCCATGTTACCCATAATCTACATCCAGCTTTGACGCCCGCGGTCTTTCTGTCCTTGAAATCATAAGTCCGTCTCAAGAAAACATGTAATCCCTCATCCAATTTTCCTGTGGATCCTGTGCATATCTCACCATATATGTACTCTACAGTTATGTTGTAAGCACCATGTTTGGATTTCTATCACCACATTATTCTGCCCACATTACACGCTCTGTAGAGTGTTCTAAGTAGATAGGTTTCCTGGTGTTGCTTGGTTTATGAAATGCTATGCTTATTCCGCAATCCGACCCGAGCAATTTTTTATCGCTTGACATATTTAGCTGCTCTATAATTGTGTCCCATAATATTGCCTATATTCCACCATACATGCTTTCAATAGTTCTTATACAAATTAACTGGCTTATCTCAACACAGTATCTGACGTCAATGAAGCGGTGGACTGATCTGCGCGCCCAGTTTCGAGACGATAATTTCAAACTGCACAGCTGCACGTCCGAGTCGATGCTTAGTATTATACTCCAGGCTGGCTTGTCTGCCTTTAAAACCAAGTATGTCAAACACTTTTTCTGAGTATGTATATGCGTTTATGTTCCTATTTATATTTATATATTTTGATTATAATTGTTATTATTATTGCTATTTCTACTATTATTATTATTATTGTTATTATTATCATTATTGTTGTTATTATTATTATATATGATTTATACATATATCATTATTATTAATAACATACATACATATATATATTATATTATTCTATTATTATATTATTATTATATTGTAGTATTATATTATTATATATTGTTATATATTATATATTATTATATATATTACATTAAATATATATATATATATATATATATATATATTAATAT